AAATATTATTTTATTATCGTAACTCAATTCCAATTATTAATATATTCAAAAGAACTAATTAATAATATATCATTTGTTTCAGAACAAGAATCTTTATTTGAAGGACATTAGCTTACGGGGATTAGGTATATGAATCTTGAAACTATGCAACAAAACACAAAGGAACACGACCAGAGACATAACAATACCTGAAGACTTATCTTGTTCAAATTGTTAACTGTTGGTCGGAACTTTTCAACACAATTTCTAATCTTTTGGGCTGGATACGAGAGACACACCAAGCAATAGACTGCACATCACATGCCATCTACACTTGTTGCTATAACAAGACCTAATCGGTTGAGACAACTCTCTTTGATATTGTTAGTTAGTATTAGATATAGGGAATACCCAGAAGATCCAACTACACTATGCCAGAACAACCACAAAATGAAGGTAGTGATAACCTGGACAGTGACTCTGAAGGATCGACCAACTTTTTAACCAACCAATAAATCAAAAAGCAGTAAACGTAAATCAAAAATCGTTTATAAATTTTTTGTTTATAAAAAAAATTTATAAACAAATATTATAATCATTACAAATTTGGTTTTTTATTATTATATTATTATAATGGTATAATGTGACAAATATTCTACTATATAGTCCAAATAATATTACTAATTCTTTTTTTTTAAGAGGATTCTTTATAAACAAATAATTATTCAATTCTAAGTGTATCGCTGAATAACCACAGAGTTAAGAAGAGATGCTTCTTCTAAAGTTTGTGATCCGTCATTTAAATCATTTACTGGAAATGATGTTTGTAATAAATAATTTCGTTGTGCTTCTCCAACTCGTGAGCTATTAAGAAAAATTTTATTTGAAGAGAAAATTCAATTAATTGGTTGTTTGATTGATTTTGAAATGGAATGAACCAACTCACGCATTAATAAAATTTCGAATATCATTAACAGTATGTGTGTGATTAAACCTAGCAAGCATTCTAACAATCAAAAATAAATTTTTAATGATTTACATTACAACAAACAAAGTGACATGAGCAACGAAACAACAATAATAAGATACCTTGTTCCATCCGCTAAACGTATTTGGAGTGATGTGATTGGCAGTGACTCGTCAACTTCAAATTCTCGTATACTTTGTGTTGTGTTAGTAGTAGTAGCATCAGTAGTAGCAGTATCAGTATTTAAAATGTCAGTTTCGGTACTTTGACTGGAAACAACAACTGGTGTTATACTATTTTGCATATACATATATATAAATGAAAACATAAATACACACACACATATGTATAAATATATATATATATATATATATATATATTAAAAAAAAGATACCGACCTGCCAAGTCTTTGTCCAGATCCAGAAAATGGTCTGGTAGGTTTCTTTGGTGGTGGTTTGTAATCTTCATCTAATCTACGTGAAACTCGTACATCGACTGGTTGATTTTGACTAACATTTAGTAATGACAAGGGGGCACGCCTTATATATATATTATTATGATGATATTTAATATTTTTTATGAATTTGTGGTTTACAATTAACAAATAATAATCTATAATTGTATAAATAATATACCCGCTTCTAATAGCTTTCAAAAATTCTTGATTTTCTGGATCATCATAAGCCATTAAAGGACCATCTTCAACGCTAAAACCATTCCTCCAAAAAGTTAAATGACGAACCTACAAAAAAATTTTATTATTAAATAATACTCGATATATACATACATATATACACACACACGCAACACATACAGTTGTAGCTGGTTCTTCTTCTTCAGTGTTGTTGTCGGAAGAAGTGCCTGGAATAATAGTTGATGGCTCTTCATCACTTCCAAGTTTATAGCCTATATAATTATGTTTATTATTCAATAATAATGATAACAACAACAAACAACAACAATAATAATAATAACGAGATTTAAATGATAAACTGACCTGTTCCGGTGAAAACTTGAGAAGAAGTAGAAGATGACGCAGCAACTTCAGGTTCTTCTGTATGAGCACGACTACCTCTAATTTATCAATGAGCCGAATCATATCAATTAATATATATATATATATATTAAATAAATAATCCTATTACAATTTTTCCTTTTATACTTACTCTGTGGCTTTTTTCAAAATATCGGTAACTAAAGAACTTGCTTGTTTGATTGGCTTTGCGTTTGGATTTTGCATAAAAATTCCACTATAATATAAATTAATATAAAATTAAACCTAAATTGATTAATTGATGACGATATGTGTATATGTAGAAGTGATAACTTACGATTTTTCTCCACCAGCAAATAAGTTTTTATTTTCATCATCTTCATCATCATCTTCATCCATTGGTTCATTCTCAAGATCATGTATAGTAGCAAATCGTGAACTAGTAATAATAAAAATAATTAATCAATCGATTAATCAAATAATGATATATTTTTTTAATAATATTTATATGTAAAAAAAACCTATTTCTTGAGGAGCTTGAAGGATTATTTTGTGTAGAAGAAGTTTGAGACTCTTGTTGATTTGATCCAAAAGCAGTATTTGTTGCTTGGTCTATATCACTACTACTACTAGGCGGAGGGTTTTCATAATAAGCGGTTAAAGCACCCTTAAAAAATAGAAAAATAACATATATAAGTATATATGTATGATCTTTGTAACTTTTTAATATTTAATAAATTTCAATTAATTACAGCTAAATCCCAATTATTAGCTTCTAAATAGAATTGAGCTAATTGTTCATTACAATTAACTATACTCCTAAATTCGGAAATTAAACTAGCGTGTTCTACCATATTTGCTTATTTCTTTATTCTTTCTTTTTTTTCTCTTTGTATTATAATTATTATATATTTGAGAGAAAGTAAAAGTAAAAGAAAATAAAACCAACTGGCTGTGTTTTACTTTTAAAAAACTTGCGTACACAGAAATAAATAATTTTGTTTTTTAGAAAATGGGATTTTTTTTAAGATTTAGATAAATAAATTACACGAATCTGATCAACAGTTACGTATTTATTTGCATAATGACAATGTCATATGACATTTGAATATTTTTTATTTTAACGCTTCTTGTAAACACAAGGTTTTAATAAATTATCCAAAATTTCTGAATTTAACAATTCCTTTGAATCTTTTGATTTATTATTATTAGGTTTATTATTATTATTATATTTAATAAAATCAAATAAAATAAACATCTTATCTGAGTCATCCTGTGTGAAAGAGGAAGGGGTGGAAAAGAACAAGTAAATGAGTAAAAAAAAATTATTATATAATATCAAATAGTAAATATTACAATGACAATGATATAACTAATTAATATAATTAATATAATTTCTTTTACCTTTCTAATGAACTCAAATCCAATTTCAGTTAAAACTTTAATAAATGAATTAATATCTGTAAATCTACTAACAACTTCAGCAACCTTTAATTCACCTCTAAATAATATAATAATAATAAGCAAATATAAATAATTTCTATTATTTATATATATTATATAAAACTTTACTTTGGTTTTAATACACGATGTGCTTCTTTCAAGAATTCAATATAATTTGTTCCCATTAATGATAAAGAAAATATAACTATATCAAAAAAAGAATCTGGGATTGGGAGCTAAATAAATAAATAAATATAAATAGACATTATATAACATTAATTCGTACCACTAAAGGCATTAATTAAATACCTTTGCAATATCACAAACAATAATTTTATCATTTTTAGCGACAAAATCGAAAGATAGGATTTTATTTGGAGCCTCTTTAGCAATCTTTGCTTCTCCACATCCTAAATCTGCTACTATTAAATTTTTAGGTTTTTGTTTCAAATACTCAATAAATATATCAACTGGATTTTTAGGCCATGATTCAACTACTGAACTAAATCCCTCATGATACTGATAATATAATCATATTATGCATAATATTTAATATATTATGATTATGATTATATTTAGATTTTTTAAATTAGGTTTTTTACCTCATCAAATAATTTTGAATTGTTTTTAAATAATTCAAATGCTGAAGTACTTGTCTTATTATAAAGTTGTTCATTCAACCATCGAAATTTGCTTTCTAATAAATTCATCCTGGCTTTTTGTTGTAATGAAACATTTTTTTTTGATGATGGTGATGATTTGCCCTTCTTTTCTTCTTCCTTTATTTGTAATTTTAATTTTTTTAATTGTGATTGTTGTGAATTTGATGATTCTCTTTTCTTCTTGTTGCTCTTATTGGAGCTACTGGTATTGTTCATATTACTACTACTGTTACCGACTTCTTCTCTACCATCTAACTCTTTCTTATCATTAGTTGTTATTGTTGTTGCATTTAAATTTTTTTTATTGTCCAATTTTATTTTATCTTTTTTTAAATTCCTAATTTTGGAATTTTTGATGTTTTTTAAATTGTTGTTATTGTTATTATTATTTTTATCGTTATTATCATTATCTAAATTATTGTTATCATCAAACTTTTTATCTACATTTTTCACCTTTTCATCATATGATTTCTTTTTCTTGTCTTTTGAAATTTTATTTTTGCGATGTTTACGTTTACTATTATTTTTATTGGTTTCAGGTTTTTGAGTTATTAACTCTCCAAGATTCCAATCAGGAACTTCAAATAAAGACATTTTTTTATTTTTTTTAAAGATGATCAATGTGACGATTATGAATCTCGATCAAAGTCACATTCTATGTGAGGTACTTTTTCTGCTTGTTGATCTTACTAAATTAAGTAAAAATATACTATTAATTGCTTAATTTGGTAATATAATTACTTGGTTTGATGGAATTCAACGCTACTATGTGAGGTACTTTTCTGCTTGCTGCTCCCCATATATTCAGAATTCAGTTTTGGGGTTGTGTAGATCATTTATTATTTGCACAATTTCCCGTTTTTAAGACCAATTATCCAGGCGTCCCAAATTAACATTGTTGCTATGTGATTAGTAACGTGATGTAATTGAAATTTTTTATCTCTTTTTCAAAACAATGTCTCAACAACATTCTGTTGAAAAAACTGATGTATTATTCATTAATAATAATAAGGGGTTTTCAGGGAGCATAGATTTTAACACAACAAAGATTCGTCTTCAAGATGCACTTAAAACTACATCAGTAAGAATTAATTTAGATTATTTGGAGGGTTTTAAAAAATAACTAAATCTAAATATACAATTTGTATATATATTTTTTAGTATGAGCATTCAGAAAGAGTATTTCGAGATATTGATGCAACTTTTGTTACATTCAAAGCATTAACTCAACTCAAAATGGAAACATATAGTAAGTTTCAAAAAAATATTTATTTGATTTGAGATATTATTTATCCTGTTATTCTGAACGAAAAAAAGAGCTGGCTTGTTTTTGATTAATTTTTTTTAGTCTTGTTGGATTAGATTAAATATAATTAAAAAAAAAAAACAGATTATATACAAAAGTATTTAATGAAAAGTAGTTATAGTATTAGTATTATTGTTATTATTATTACATTGGTTGCTTTATAAGTGAGTCAAAGTCAATAATAATAATAATTGGGTGGTCAAATCAATTCTTGATTGGTATAATGCAAGACCATTGTATTTGAGCTGCTAAAATCATAAACAGGACATACAAATATTATTTTAATAAAATTCTCACAATAGACATTGTGATCTCCTCAATTTGATTCATCCACACAAGCCCACAATGATGGTAGAACTCAATTCTTATTATGTCTTTATGGAACTATTCCAATTACATATCGGTCAACATCTTACAATATTCCTATCGCACTATGGATTCCAACTGAATACCCAAAGACTGCACCTTTTGCTTTCGTAGTCCCCACACCTAATATGCTGGTAATGCCTTCTCAATATATTGATGTAAGTGGTAGATGTCATCACCCATATTTACAAAATTGGGGAAATCAAAACGAGGTTTGTTATAAATTTTTTTTTTTAAATTTTCTTTTTGGTATATAAAAATTATCTCCAATTTTTTTATTCCTTTTTCATATAGGAACCAAATATTGTTACATTTTGTTCAATTCTACAAGCAGTATTTAGTCAAACTCCACCGGTAGTTACAAAACTCACAACACCACAACATTCTACACATCCTCCTCCTTTACCTAAATCTCCAAATCTATCACCTGCATTACTACAATCTAGAAATCACAGTTACAGTGTGCCACCACCTGTTTTTCCTTTCCTTCCTCAACAATATAATTTTTCAGTAAGATTAATATTATTTATATATATATATATGGGGTTTGAAAGTACAAAAAAAAAACAAAAACAAATTTAAAACTCATACTAATCAATTAATATAAATATATTTAAGCCATCAATATCTGGTCAGCGGACACTTCAACCATTTCCACTACCACGTTCTTTAGAACCACAACCAAGCATACTTGATGCACCACCAGTGGTCATATCACAACCTGTACCATTACCTAAAACACAAAATCCTGAACTGATCAATTTACAAATTATGGTTTATGATAAAGTGAGAAGGAAATGTGAAGAATATGTTGAGATAGCATCACCAGAATTTCACATGATAATGTCTATTGGTGAAAAACTTAATCAGAATCAGATATTGATTGAAGAAGAAAGGAAACAATTATTTGAGTGTGAGACAAAAATAAAGAAAAAAACTGAAATTTTGAAAAATAAAATTTCAGAAATTGATAAACTTATTGAACATGTTAAAAATATGCCCGAAATATCAGTTGATGATATATTATGTGGATCCACCATTGTTTATAATCAGTTAAATATTTTTTTTATTTTATTTTTTTGTAAAGTAATAATTTCATCATATATATATATATATATTTAATATTAGATTATTTGATTTGGTGGCAGAGGAAAATGCAATTGAAGATGCAATTTACTATTTGGGAAGAACATTAAATTCTGAAAGAATAGATTTAAATACTTACATGAAGGTAAATCCAGTGATGTTTCTTACTAAAATTTATAAATTTACATTACAATATTTTTTAAAAATATTATTAGAATATTCGAACTCTTGCAAAGGAGCAATTTATGAGGCGGGCATTGATTCTTAAAATTCGTAAACAAATAGGATTGGATCTTGTATAAATTCTTTGAATTAGTCAAATATTTAAATTTCAAGTACACACAGATAATGATGTACTGGACATTTGTATCAAGGTGGTTTTTTTTGATAATCAATAATAGATTAGTATTATTATTATTATTATTATTATTAGCTTTTTTTTTTATTTATTATTATGTATAAATAAATTTAAAGATCTTAATGAAACCATAATATATTGTGATTTAATATGTATACTAATACATTCAGCAAGAATTTCATTAAAATTTTGAGTTTAGAAAATTAATATTATTATTAAATTAATTTTATTTCTTGTGATCATACATACATATATACATACACACACTACTTGGACAAAAGTATCCGGACACCTATTTTTACTAATTATATAAAAACAACGATATCATTTGTTGTTTATTTTAATTACTCGAATGCAAATCTTTGTAATTTCGAGCGTAAATAATTTATAATAAAATTAAAAGATGCCAAAAAACGAAAATTGACCAAATTATGCGAGGAAATTTTCGGGCCTTCGTGAAGGTAGTGAGAGCGTAAAAAACTCACAATGTACAGTTCAAGGCACCATTTCTCGTTATAAAAGTCTAGAGAATGTTAAAAGTGCACCAAGAAGTGTAGACTAAAATTTTAGACGAACTTAGCCAAAACAAATTAAAAGCATTAGTAAAAATACGATCCAAAAAACTGAAGAAAAACAATTTGAAGTTTGCATGGTCTTGGGATTTTCTCCAGGGTTGCTGCTGTAAATCACGTGACAATAAATCGATTGAAATAATGTTCAAGTAGGAGAAGATGAAGCGTTTCTCAATGGGAGAATCTAAAGTCTCGTTTTACAATTTTAGAAGCGATGGATCCGATCGTGTTTGGCGTACAGTTGGTCAACGGTACAATATTGAAAACATTGTATCATCGGTCAAACCATGGGTGGCTGTTTTTTCAAAAAGAGGCTGGGACCACTATTTAGAGTTGAAGGGAAGATGAATCGACTTGATTATATAGAAATTTTAGTAAATAACTTGTTAGAGGCAAATTTAATATTAATGGCAAGGGTAATTATTATACACAGCACGTGATGTTCAAAATTAGATCAAAGAAAAAAAAAGATCAAAGCTTTACTTAATTGGCCTTCATAATCACCTGATCTTATGTCTTTGGAAAGGTGATTAAATAAGCGTACACAATGCTAACGAATTGGAAAGAAGAGTGGACAAGAATTCCATACGAAACTTACCATAAATTAATAGAAAGATTGGGCATGCATTTCTAGCAATCATCGTTTTCGTTGAATTTCTTTTTTTTTTTTAATTAAAATATCTAAAAATATCAATATTTACATTCATATTCACCAAAACCAGGTACATAATGACACAAATTTTTATGTATAGCTATTACATGAGTTTTTGCATGATTAGTAAAAAAACAGGTGTCTGGGTAAGAAAGACTTTTTTCTGATGCAGGAAACAAAGATCAAACTTGATGAACATTGACTTAGTTTATAATTTTTTTTTTGGTATAAAATAAGTTTTGTTACATAATTTGAATAATTCAAAACAAATAAAACAAATAAAACAAATAAAACGAGTAAAAATAAAACGAATGAAACGAAAAGAGATACATATGGCTGATTTATTTTTTAATATAATCAGTGAATGCTACTGAATTATTAGATATTTCATCAAATTTACCATCTTCTAAAAGTGCTTCTATTTTATTAGGAACAGATCCAGAAAGTTGATGCGCTATAATAGTTTCTGATTTACAACCCGAGAAAATTTGGGCATTTTTATTCAAACAATTTCCTCTTTCCCAATCATCACCACCAATTAAATGGCGTTTTTGGTTAATAGATTTTGTTAGAATACCTTCATCTATAAACGGTAGTGCGTTAAACTTTGATCCATTTTTTTTTGGAAAGTATTTTTTGAGTGGTGAATCATCTGCTTGTAGTAGACCACGCAAAGGGCTAGGTAAAAGCTCGTTACATTCTGGTGGAATAATACAAATTAATTGTTCAAAAGGAGTCATTGGTGGATCATTGTTATTATAATTATTATTACTATTCAACTGGTTTAAATTATAATTATCCAAAATTTCACGGATAGTAGGTGCCTTACGATGAGAATAAAAACATCTCCAACTTTGACAATTTCCTTGAAAATATTGAAAATTCCATTTTAACATGTTGATATAATCATTTACTTTTTCTACAACATTTGATTGTGATGATAATATTGTACTATTCCTATTATTTTGAAACACTACTACTTCTAAACATTCTAGAAATTTGTAGAGTCGTTCTAAATTTATACTACTATTGTTATTATTAATGGCAGCAGTAGTGATGTATCCGATAGATCCTTTATTGATTCTGAAATAATTATTGTAAGCTTGTAATAAAATTTTAATAGGTGACAACGATGGAGTTGACGTTATTAAAGGTGGTATATAATCATTTCCAATAAAATTTAAAATACACACAAAGTCATTAATTAGATTATTATTTCCTCTATGTTTAATCGCATTCATAGTACCAACCATACCAACGATGATATGATTTCGTAACTTATCAATGTTTACTTTATTATTATCATCTTGAGATTTTAATATTATTTGCAGGTCTGATTGATTTCTTAAAAGTGCATATAAAATAAAATCAGAATCATTTCCATAAACAACATGTGGTGTTTGGTGATGGTGTATACGATGTGTTTGTGAATCCAAATATTGAAAAATTTTATACTCGCCTTCACCTGGTACTTGAGAGTCATTGAAAATTATTTGAAGTGAATTATAATCTTCTTGGTTTAAAAGTTGATATATATAATATCTAATGGCTTTATTTGCGACGACCATAAATTCAGTCCCGGGAGAAATTGCAACAGAGTTTTTTGGGACATGAAAAAATCTAGTAGCAGCAGTAGAAGAAGTAAATGAAGCTTCTAAATTTAAGATGTCAGTCATAATATGAATTTTGGGTATTAGTAATTTCCACTATCACGAAGAACATTCGATTTTTTGCTATTACTACTTACTGACACTAGTAGTAGTTTTATTATTATATCTTCTGAGTCTTTGTGTATTCATTTTAGCTCTTGGAGCAACACCATCCATTGCAATATATATTAGGGATTTTGGATTGAATGTTTCTTTGATGATACCATCTAATTCTTCAAATAATGTTGTTAACATTTTTTCCGGATTATCATCATCAGTTAAAGCAGCATAAAACAATGAATTAATATCTAAATATAAAAATTCAATCTGTTTTCCTTCATACGAATATAATTTATTTTTATCAATAGTTTCAAATACATCCGGACAGTTTGAAATAATCCATTTCAAAAAACGTGGAATTCCCATTTTTTTGTGACTTTTATTATCGACCGTCTATTTAAACATTTTACAAAAAGATCGACGAACCATATGGGGTAATATTTTTTCCATATTAATATATTATTTCCAAATACAGCAACAAAAGAATTTTTAAAATTTATTGTTTTAAAAAATGGAATTTTTAGATACAATTATCAACCAATTTCAAAATAATCCATTAAATTGGATACTTTTCTCTTTTTTAATTTATGTGATTTACTTATCGTTCACGCCAATCCCCTATCAATTACCAAAAGTAAAACATCCAGAAACTACAATATTCAAAGAGTATACGCCAAAACAATTAAGAGAATTTGATGGAAGAAATTTACATACTAAAATTTTTTTAGCGGTTTCGGGAAATATTTATGATGTTAGTAAAGGAAGAAGTTTTTATGGGCCAGGTAGGTAACAAAAAATAAATAAATAAATAAATAAATAAATAAATAAATAAATAAATAAATATATATATATATATATATATAAAAGAATAAATTTACATAATGTAATAATATTATTTTTAGATGGACCATATGGGAATTTTGCAGGAAGAGATGCATCAAGAGGACTTGCAAAGAATTCCTTTGATCTTGATGTGTTAACACCGATTGATCAAGAGATTGATAAATTAGAAGATTTAAGTCATGAAGAATTAGACAGTCTTAATGAATGGCATGGTCACTTCAGATCAAAATATGAATTGGTTGGTAAATTAATAAATGAATGAATGGATTGATTAATTAGGAGATGGAGGGAAATTTTATTAATTAAAACACACAAACGCACGCATATATATATATATAATTTTTTTTTGTTAAACTTAATAAATTCTTTTCTTTTCTCGCTCAATTCTCACAACCTCAATCAATCTCTCTTCACTTCCTAATATCTTCTTATCATAATGAAGAAATAGTTGAACTATTACAAATATTATTGTTGTTTTTATCATTAACATTTTCACTATTTAAAAATATTGAATCTAACATTACTTCAGTTTTTATTCTTTTTGCATTTTGTAAACTATTTTTTTTTGAATTTGCTAAATGTTCATAAGCTTTAATATGACTTTTATCTTTATACGTTCTATTATAATTTACAAAATATTCGATTCTACAATATTGAACTGCTAATCCAAATAATAACAATGTTACGATAAGTGTTGCTAAATATGGATTTGAGATAAATATTTCTTGATTATTGGAAAATTCATTTCTATAATATTCATAATTATAATAATAATTATTATTGTTATTATAAGTTGCAGTAGTTCTACTTCCACTCCTTTTACTGCTACTGTTTCTGCTTCTACTATTATTATTGTTATTGTTATTATAAGGATGATTTCCCCAGCCCATTCCAGTCTTGAGATATAATTCTTTCTTTCTATGATCAACTAATATGTCATATGCCTTTGCAATTTTATGAAACTTATCCAATGATTCAGTTGAATTGTCTTTACTACTATCAGGATGATATTTCTTTACCAATTCAAAATATCTTTTTTTAATTTCAGCATCATTGGCGTTTTTTGGTAAATTAAAAATTTCAAAAGGTGTTAAATTACTATTTTTCTTTTTAAATATTGATTCATAATAATCGTCTTCTTTTGTTTCTTTTTTAAAAGATTCGCTAGAATAATAATATTTTAATCTATTATTGTTGATGTTAACGTTGGGAATATTGTAATGTCCTTTATTCGTTGTTAAATTACAATAAAGCAATAATGATGATCTTTGAAACTGATTTGAACAAGTAGTAGTTGTTGTAATAATGTTTTTTTTTGTGAATTTTCTTTTATTTTTACAAAATCCATTTAAATAGGTATTAATAATAACACTAACGTTAGCGGTGGCAATTTCAAATTTTCTTGGAAAAATTTGATTCTTCATTTTATTCAAAAAAAAAATTTTTATTTATTTATTTCACATGTTTATATAGCCACCCACCCCATTTCTCAAGTGAGCTTATTAGTATTAGGGTTCTTTGAGAAAATTTAGGGTAAATATACATATTAATATTACATTAAGGAATTAGGTTTTTAATTTACTATCAACTATCATTGGTAAAGTAATATTTCCCACCTTCTCGATAATATGATAATACAACACACGTCAAAATGTGCCATTTATTTATTTAAAAAATTATCCTAAACATTATTTTTAATAACCAGACTTAAGTCCAAGCTTTTTTTAAACATAAAATGTTTGTAATATTGCGAGGTAGCCTTTTGGTCAACCTCGATTATTTTACGTTTATGGCCGAGTTTGAGTTAACCTTTTAGCTACACTCGTTGATTAATCACAAGCTTTTATATACAATGCTCGTCATTAATTTGTTTTACGAATTTTATTTTACTACTCTGCAAAAAAAACATGTTATTTTTTTTTTTACAAAAGTTTAAAATTTGATTTATAAATCTTACTCAGAGGGTAAGATTTATTCCTGATAGTAAAATAAATCTTTGTCAAATTAAAATTTTAATTTCTGAGGAACAATTACATAAGAATTTTTATTCTTTAATTTACTATTATTATGGTCCTTTTCTAGACCCACATTTGCCGATCAATTAATTTCCCACCATGATCCACATGACTGATGGAAAAAGGACTATGAGAAACAGAAATTTTGAATCGTTGTGAGAAATTAATATTAATCAAAATGTTTCTAGAATTTTTTGCTTTGGTTTTGTCTTCAGTTATTATTTTATTATTATATTATTATCGAAGATTATTTTCCTACCCAAAAGAATTAGAAAATATTCCAACTATTCCATTCATTTTTTATGCAAAAATGATACTTAGTGGTATTCCACTTGATGAAATTCAACCTAAAGTTAGGAAATTTACAACCAAAGGAGTTTGTAAGGTAAAATTTAAACCAAAAAAATCCTAGCCTATTTATTATGTATATTTAATTAAATGTATTACTAATTAATTTTCTAGTATTGGTTGTTTAACAATTGGATGGTGTCTATTACAAAATATGAATATGCAAGGGATTTCTTATCAGAACCAGGTAATTAATTACTTTTTGTATGCACCATATAGTAATAGACAGACACTAATGCTAATAATAAATGTAGCCGAAACGTTACCAAAATTGGGATATCCCAATGATCACCCAGTCAAAAGATTTTTTGGAGAAGGATTAGCTTTTTCTAATGGACAAGTAATTGATCATTTAAATATTTTTTTTATCAATTTATTTATTTATTTTTTTTAAAAATAAAAAATAAAATAAATCAAAAGAAATGGGCTACACATAGAAAAATAGCAAATCCTGCATTTAACCGTGCACTTTCACCAGAAGTTGTCGGGAAAATAACAATTGATTTGATGAATTTACTTGATAAATTAGTTGATCAACCATTTGATATCTTTAAAGTAATGCAAAGAACCACCATACAGGTTTTAGGAAAAATTGCATTTAGTTATGATTTCAAGGTATTTGAATCAATCAAATCATAAAAATTTTTTATTTGTATTAATAATAATAAATAATAATAATAGATTTATTTTTTTAGTGCTTAGAAAATTTAGAAACTCGTCATGACTTGATTGAGACCTATATTAAACTTCTAAGGTCACTTCGTAACCCAATTGCTTTTATTTTACCATGGTTAAGTAAACTTCCAACAAAATCAAAGGCTGAATTTGAAAAAGATTTAGAAATTTTTAATAAAACAATGCTTGAAATTATTCAAAATAAAAAAGAAGAAATTAAAAAATCAAAGCTTCCTAATAATAATGGATAAAATATTATAAAATATTTCATTTAAGTGTTGTTTTCTAAATATCCTGTAAAATATTGTTTTTAAAAATTAAATAATCCATTTAATCAAAATAAAGAATTTTATTTTATGTATGTGTGTGTGTAGGTATAAATGACCAATGTAATAATATATTTATCACTTTATGATAATGAACTGATAATTTAATATTATTATATTTTAAAGGAAAAAATAAATTGTTTTATATTAATGAGTAAAATTATCTCGCATTAATCATTAATTTTTGTGAATTTTTTACTAATCTTATTGTGAACAGAATTGATGATATTATTTTTTTGCTGTACATTCGTAAACAAAAGGATGGGTCTTCACAGTCTAAAAACCCAACAAACACGAAGAAAATACAATTATTAAAGGTGGTCAGCAAAATTTATATAATAATAATAAAATAATTAGAGGTTGGAATCGACTAAAATAATCGACTAAACTCCTTTTTGAACAACTAATAGTCGACTATTTTAATCGATTATTTAGTCGACTACTAATACTACTAATACTAATACTAATACTATGTTAATATTATTATTGTCTGACCAATTACGATTTTTGTGTTTTATCATTCAAAATGGAAAATTTCTATGCGGAAAGAGTATCAATACCATCAATACGATTATGACGACAATAGTAGTGGTGTTGTTGATGATAATCTTACATGCGAATAAATAGACACTTCCAATACAAGGTCCAATAGTTCATTGGCTTCAAGTTCCAATGGTTCAAGCGGTTTAAAAAAATGAATCGTAG